CGGGAGGCTCCGGCGGGGCCTGGCGGGCTCTGCCTGCCTTAGCCAGAGCGGGGCTTGGCCCGAGAGGTAGTGCGGAATGAAGTGAAAACAGTGGGCTGGGGCTTGGTCCTGGGTCTGTACGGGGGTGTTGTAGCCTAAACTGTGCTTGTTTTGGTGTTCAGCTGAAGTGGATGGTCGACTCTGTCTGTGCTGAGAGAAAAAGGATGCTGACTGTTGCTTTCCTCTGTCGTAAACAGCTTCTGCAATTCCTGCAAGAGTTTTCGCAGCAAACCATTTCCAGGACTCATGAAATCAAAAAGCAGGTGGATGGGCTGATCAATGAAGCAAAAGCCACCGACTGCCGCCTGCACAATGTCTTCAACGACTTTCTCATGCTGTCCAACACGCAGTTCATAGAGAACGTGAGTGTGCTCTTCAGCAGCATCCAGCTCCTGCTTCAAACACTGGAGGTGTCCCTTACTCTGGTGTGGGAAGTGATTCAACTTTTTAGCAAGTCTGATATTAATTTACATGTGAAGTAGCTTTTAATAACTTTCAGTTAAACTGTGTCCTAATTCCTTTGTGCATGATTTACTTTCCAGCATTTGCAGATTCCCTTTTGCCTTTTCTGAGGTGCTTTTCTACCTTGTTTATATGTCCCCTGGAGATCAGACTTTTGTTTTTAGGACTGTGAATGAGTTGGGATCTCTGGGTTTATCGTTACAGGTAACATGAATGTAGCATTTGCCTGTACTAGGCTGTCTAAATATGAGAAATGTCACATGGTGCTATAAATTTGCCCAGTGGTGTTATTTTATGCTTAAAGAAGTTGGTATTAAAGGTGTTGGGCTGCAGGCAGTTATCTGTTTTGTTTGGTCATGATGAGTGTATTTGTTGGTTAGTGTTCCCACTTTATGAATATTGCTGTTTTAGAAAGGTGAAAGCTAGACTTGAAAGCCCATTAAAACCTTCTATATGCAGGAGCATGTGTATAATTCAGATGTAGAGCTTTAGTAGTCTTTCAGATTTGTGGAGGGTTTTTTTACTATTGTGAGATTTATTGGGTATTTTGTTTTGATCAGCATTGTTCTCAGGCCACATATGTCTCATCTGAAGCTGTGAAGCTGTTACTGTCCTCTGCCATCATCTTTTGAAGGTGATGGAAATGTGGGGTTTTGGTGGTGGTGGCAGCTTTTTTTTTTTTTTTTCAGAACTGCAATGTCTTTTCTGGCCTGCCTTTGCTGTTCAGTGCAGTGATTCTGCTGAGAACACTTTGTACCAAATGTCTTAAATCTTGGGTGCTTGAAGCTGTTTGTTCCCAAATTTGAGTGCAAAGAATTAGGTCCTCATTTCTAGGTCTCAATTTAGTTAGACATCTGTCCCTTCCTAGGGAATAACTGCACCTGTGTTTGAGAGATTTGGATTTAGGTTTGCAGATTCAAGGGAGACTTTTTATCCCCCTGTGCCTCCTTGTAGCTGAGTGCTGAAAGAGCTGGATGGGAGAGGTCATCAGAACAAAGTGAAGGAGGGATGTGAGCCTCTTATTTAAGTACTTGAGAAGGGTAAACATTAAAAAAAGAGAAGTTGCTCAATAACAGAGAACCAAACAAAAACAGGCAATCCAGAAGTAAATTTAGGTTTCTAGAGTAAGCCACCATCTGTGGCTTATTTTTTAACATGTGTAATTCATTACGTGTTAACCATGTATTTTATTTTGTTGGTGGTGACTGTGGCTTAGCCCCTGCAGCAATATATTGTTCTTATTTGAATTAATTTTGTTTGACTTTTTAGAGAGTATATGATGAAGAAGTGGAAGAGCCTATTCCCAAAGCTGACGCTGGAGACAAAACAGAGCAGGTAGTTAGCTTAAGCTGCCTTGAGCACTGACAGCATGTTTGTAGCTCTTGTTACCTTCTCACTTTCAAACTTATTTTGTGGACATTTGCAGCTTATAAACCAAACTGTTTCCTTTCTCCTTTAAGTCTCTGTTTAATAGTGTATGTCATTCAGTCATAAAGTTGATGGTAACAATGGAGGCTACTGCAGTGTATGACAATCTTTTAGGACCTCCCCAAGCTCAATACTGTGTCCAGGTGACAAGACTTATGCATTGGTTTTTAAACAGCTGTGCATGTTTTTTCAGCAAGACAGCCAAGGCCTCGGGCCTTCTTACTGGGTTCAGAGGTAGTGAATTAGTGAAGGAGAATATGACTGTCATTCCCAGGCATAAAAACTCGGGGAATGTTTTGTGTGTCTTAAAGTCTCTGTGAATTATATCATAAATGTTCCCTTCGTGGGCTGGGAGCACAAATAAGTTAATACTGTGCTGGTGTAGATGTTTAGAGCATCTTTCTTTCTGGGAGTGATAAAGATTAATTAGTTCAAGGGAAAAAAAGGGTTCTGAAGATCTTTTTCTTACATGTAGTTAAAAGCCTTTCATTGTACTAATCTGAAGTTAAAATTTTGCATGCGTGTTGCAGTGAAATTGTGTTGTTCTATTACTAAAGGAAAAGACACGGGAACAGAAAGAAGCTGATCTGATCCCCAAAATTCAGGAAGCAGTGAACTATGGATTGCAAGTTTTGGACAGTGCATTTGAGCAGCTAGACATCAAAGCAGGCAACTCTGACTCTGAAGAGGAAGAAAGTAATGAAAGGATGGAACTTATACTTGAGCCAAAGGTAAGGAGGACACCTGTTCTTGCTGGGAGCATGGGTTTGTGTTTGGCTTTGTTGAACTTGCACTTTTCTTCAATTGACAGTATCACCACATTAAGATAAAGTTAATATTTGTTGCCTAAGAAGGGGATTTGATTGCTACATCTGAAACAGAAGTGTTCCTTGCTGAGCTGTTCCTTGTGTAGACTGCTTGTCTTGCAGTTGTGTTAGCATTAAGGCCTAAAGGTTGTTTAATGGCAGTGAACTCAAAAAGGGAAACCTCAGTTGTGGGTAAAGTGGGATCTTTAAATTTCATGCTTTTCAGGTGGTTTTTACTCTCCCAATAATTAAGAACCCTAGGTGCAGGGTTTGGGATAAGACTGGTGCCTGCAAATCTTTGCAAGGATATTTTTATGTTACATGACACGTAGAAAGCAAGTTGGAACCACAGAAGTAGCCCTGTTCTTTGAGTGTTAAAAAGGAATAACCGTCAGCTGATCCACCCAATTGCATGCTGACTTGAAGCATGTGTCTGTCTGATGGGACTCTCTTGAGACAGGCTTGTATCTTCCTTGACTTAAAACAAGGGGTGTAAGATGCCTGTCTTTGTCAGCAATGTAGAAGTGTTCCTAGATGTCAGAAAAACCTCATGTTGTCTCTTCCCAGGATCTCTATATTGACAGGCCTTTACCATACTTGATTGGCTCTCAGCAGTTTATGGAACAAGATGATGTTGGCCTTGGAGATCTCTCTAGTGAAGGTACGTGCTGGCATGACCTATGCTAGTAACCAGTTCCTAGTCTGAGACTGGTCTATTTTAACTCACAGCTTGGATACTCAGTAACTTTTCAGTAGCTTGTGTCCTGTGTATTAGAAATGCAAAGTGCTAAAATTTCAGCAGCTTTCAGAGCTCTTCCAAACCAGTCCCTTTTCCACCTGATTTTTATATCTTTTCACAAAGCCTTTAAAGTTGCTGTCGATGTGTCTGATGACTGCGTTGCTCTGTGTACAGATGTCATGTCTGATCTTAACTCTTCTGTTTTCATTTAAAACAGAAGGATCAGTGGGTAGTGATCGTGAAAGTGTAATTGACAGTGAAGAGAAGGAGGAGGAGGTAAGGGACAGAGTACCAGCCACTTTGCCCAAGCATTCCTGAGTCCTTGGTTGTGTGTAAGGCCATGAGCTACCTTGCTTTTTTCATGTGAATTCTCAAGATAGTACTGCACAGTGTCTCTTCCCTGTGTTGTGATAAATGTGCTTTTCATTAGTATTCTTATGCGGTAGTTCTCCCTATGGCTTTTTAGAGGAGCAATAAAGTGGTATTTGCTCTAACTACTGTTTTAGTAGATTGCCTCAAACTGAAGTGTTTTATTGCATTATGATTTCACTGTGTGGAGCAAATAAGATTCTTAGCAAGAAATGCACTTATGGAGAACAAATTTTTTGTAAATTACAGTCACAAAGAATGTGATGGAGGCTAATAGGAGCAAGTTTAACAATCAAGCAGGTGTCAGTAATGCACCTCCAGGATTAGCCTTGTAAATCTGTTGCATTGGACTATCAATTTCTGATATGTTTTCCCTGCCTTGGCTGGAATGTCTCTGCTTTGTACCAATGCTAGGGAAGCACCCCTTTTTTCCTGAGGAGTTTGTTTTTGAGACCTTTGGTCAACTGAAGTTAAACCCCCTCTGAGTTACTCAAATGCACTGTTAGATAGAGCTGTCTTTGCTAAATTCCTGATGTTTTAGTGAGCTCTGTTCATAAAGAAGATCAACAGTGAGGAAACAATTGCTTGCTCATGTCACAGTGAGGAGATTTGGATGTCCAACAGTAAGCAATTCCAGAGTTTCTGAGCCTTATCTTGACCTCTGTGCAGAAATAATGTGTGATACTTGTCTCTGGGTCTCTTGTGTTCCAGGAGTCAGATGATGAATATGGAAACCCTAGTGAGGATGACCAAAAGACGGTAAGATTCTGCACCCTGGTGCAATTTGAAAGACTTTCCACTTGTGACACAGTAAGGATGCAAGAAAGAAGAGATAAGATCTCTAGAGAATTAACTATTAAAAACTTTGTTAAAGTCTTACTTGTATAACTTTGTATGAGAAGGTTGTCCTGGTCAGTTGGCATTATGTTGTGAAATGGAGCCTGGATTGAGCTTAAAGATGTGCTTGCAAGTCATCGTTAGATGCAAAGTATTTACAGCATGGCATTGCGTGATGTGTGTTTTCTTCAGGAATAACTTTGAAGGCATGAGAGTTCAAAGAATATACCCTAGGATAAATGAAGTTCCTGTAGGATTATATGGTCTATAATTAAAATCCTTAACTTGCTGTGCAGGAAGTAATGAAAGTGCGTTTTGGGTATGACATCAAAGATGTTAACAGTATTAAGTGTTTGAAAGGTATTTCCATTTGGATAATGAGTGAAAAGGGAAAAGAATGTTTAAATTTAAAAATTCAAGCCTGATTTTTTGTTGTTGTTGTTGGTAATAGGTGGTAGCAGGAAAAGGAATCTTATCTGCGTTTAGATGTGCCACTGCAAAAAGAGATTTACTCTGGAGAATTCAATTTGAAATTATTTAATGTCAAAAGAACAATGTTTCAAGAAGTAATTCTTTAATCTATGAATTCATAAAGCAATGTTACAAAACCACTCAGCTGTTACATTAAGTTACATAGGGGAACTTTGTATGCCTGATTTATTTTGACATGAGGGACTACCTTGGTTGATTCCTGTTTTAGTGCACTTCTGGGCCCTTGTCAGTGTGAGTCCTGGATCAAAATTCACTGAATCTTTTTGATCCTCTTTTTCTTATTGACATGACTGAAGCCAAGATTTGGGTATGTATTGTCTGTCAGTCTGCTATCCACCTTAGGAATAGCTCAAGACAACGTAAATTTTTACTAGCTGATCACAGTGTTTCTGAATTAAGTGTAAATACTAGGTCTTTAGTGGAGATGAGTTTGTGAACAAAGGAAGCAGCATGGCCAAAGCAGTTCAGGCTTGTGTATAGTAGAGGTGCACCACTGTGAGGACAGACATGGTGTTCTCAGATGTGTCTCTGGTCTGGAAACGTTCGGTAACACAGCACAGGGGTGTACTAGAGAATGCAGCAACTTCCTTGGAGATAGAGGCACTCCTTCCTTACCTTTCCAAAGCTGTGAAGTACCCCAGGCTGGCTGAATGTTTCTCTCCTTTCAGTAAGTTTGCTTTGAGTATTTTATCTAAGCAGATGTAATTTTGTGCCTGTTTTTTATGCCAACTTCAGGAGAACACAACAGGGTATTATTGTTTTTTAGAGAACAGCACAGATGAGTGATGAAGATGATTATGGTGACCTCTTTGACTCTGAAAAAGAGGAAGATGAGGATGGAGACTTAGATGAAAGCACAAGACGTGTAAGTAACTGTTACCTCCCTGGAGGGAGAGATTTTATTTCTTTCATGAAAATCTATCCTTACAGGGATTATAGTAGTAGCTCTTAGTTACCTGTAGAGAGGGCCTGTAAGAATCCTGAGTGGTCTTTCAAAATGCTTGTTCAGGATTTACCCCTTTAAACTAAGGAACTCCTGAACCCTAAGCTGGAATCAAAGTTGTCTTTGAAGGTCGTTTAGAACTTATTTGTTCCTTTTCTGTGTGGCAAATGCTTCTCACTTGTCCTACAGCCAAAATGAGGTAACATTAAAAATTATGTATCATAAGGACTAGAAATGGCTAGTTTTTCACTAGATACACACATAATGTTTGAATTGCTTTCTTAGTAGAAAGCTGCATTGCCTGTTTTGGGGGCTTCAATCAAAGTTTGACAGTATATTGTACAAGTGAGGCTGTAGAATACAGTGTTTATAATTGCAATTGCATCAAGTTGGTAACGGCATTGTGTATAAGAAATATGCTGTTATTTGTCCCCGCTCCTCAGAAAATGAAGAGACCAACATCCTTTGCAGATGAGCTGGCAGCGCGAATCAAAAGAGAAGTACTGGTCAAACAGGACAAAGATTGTTCATGTAAGTTAACTTTAGTTTTGATAAGTGCTTGTGAGATCGTGGGGAACTTATGAGAAAGCTAAACATGGTATTCTTTGTAGCAAGTTTCACAGATATGTTATTTGAATATGCATTAGGTGAAAGCCCAACAAGAGGAATTAAATACATTGTTTTGTGTTCTGATAAAGTTTTTGACCATAACTTATAGAAATTGATTGGAATCAACTGAGTGTTGTAGTGGAAAGCACGTTGCTTTCAGGTGAGACAGGTCATGCTCCAAACACATAGGTAAGGTTTTGTCTTCAATCTAGTTCTCCCTTTGCTTGTAAAATTGTGTTTGACCAAATGTCTTTCTCTGCTGTTTCAGAGAAGTATGTGGAAGCTACTGGTAACTGTAGCCTTTCTGTGAGCTCTAGAGTGCAAAATCCCTCAAGCACTAGATTTATGTTTTCAGGAGGCTGATTTTTTTTCTCCTCTTTGTGACTTAAATAGGCTGTGTTTTGAAGAACTTCTGCTTGCTACTATTTTCAGTGAATATTTTAGACTAAATAGTCTAATAGTAAATGCATTTACTTCTGCATTACTTTCAGGGGGAAAAACCTCTCTCAAGTAGTTATTCTTGCAGCAAAGCAGCAGTTGAAAATAGCTAACTAAAATGGAGGTGGTAGGTGCTTGTGAGCCTCCTTTTGACCTGTAATTCTGAGAGTGTGAACAGACAAGAACAGCATCCATGTGTTCTTGTGTTGTTCAAACACTCAAGCTAGGTCTGTGAGTGTCAGAGTGTAAAACCTACCAGCTTACTTTGTTCAGTTATAGGGAAAACATCTGTTCATTCAAATAACCTTGAGATGGTAAGGCCAGAGGGAATAAAGCTCTGGCTTTGCCCTAGGTAACTGAATCAAGGATAGTATATCTGTAATAATTTGTAATGCTCAATGGTTCTGCATGCTCTATGTGGGACCTGCACCACCTGGAATGCTGTGCTGCTCTCTAGCATCTTGGGTAACACTAGTCTGTGCGTGAGTAACTGTGTTGATCCAACAAGTGTCTGACAAAACAATGCTGATAAAATTTTAACTGTCAGCTTTAGAACCTGCTAAAATAAAGTTGTTTCAGTGGGCTAATTCATATGAAAATGTGCACACCATCTTGGTTAGATTTTATCATACATTTATCACAGGCTGTAGGTAAAGATGGATTGTTTTATTTATGTTTTGAAATTTTCTTCTTAAAGCTGTGTCACCAGAGACTGAAACAAGGAAAATCCCAAAAGACAAGAAAGAAGTGAAAGTTCCATCAGATGGTAGGATTTCCTTCTCTCTTGTTTTTGAATTGTAGGCTGGAACAAAACACCTCTTAGGAAACTGCGACATCTGCTGTATAATCGGGGTGGGATATCAGTGAGCACCTTCACCGTGAGTGTGTACACAAATCTAAATTGTGATGTGCATGAAGGGCTAGAAACGGGCATAGTGAGAGTTTCTTCTCAAATACGGACTTGTGGAGGAGCCATATACAACCCAAGCTGACTACAGTAGCTTCTGTCTGTGTCATGTTTATGAGACAATCAAACCAGTTTTTGTTTTTGTTCTCTCTTTAATTCCCTTTTCTGAAACTTGGTTAATTGTGCTACATATTTTGGCTTTTGTGCTTTTTAGATGAAGATGATGACATCTTCAAACCTCCTAAGTTGACTGATGAAGACTTCACACCTTTTGGGTCTAGGGGTGGCCTCTTCAGTGGTGGAACAGGTCTTTTTAATGATGAAGAGGTGAGAATACTAGTGAGAGTAAAAATGGAATGTGTGCATTCCCCTTTAAAAACAAAATGAAGGGTCATGACAAATTCTCACCTCTGAAAGTCAAGGAGGGGAAATACTTTGTTGCTTGGTAGCATTCAAGCATAGTGGAACAGCATAGCTTTCCAGTGGAGAAACAACTACACAAGTGAGGTACTCATGTTCCTTTTGGAACAAAGCCTTCCCTTCTGCAGTAGTGCTGCTAGAGATGTGTGGTCCTATCATGACATTAGACGGGTTCTAATTCCAGCAGAGCTTAGTCAGCATCTACCTCACTTTTTCTCTGTGGAGATAAAATAAATGCCATATTACTTGCCTATTTTAGAACAGAACATTTCTATTAAAATGTCTGTCAGAACACAACATTTTGTCAATCTTGCTTTCTCCCTGGGTGTGGGAGAAGTTTGAGAAGAATGTTACATCCTTTCCATTTTATCTTCACAGACTATATCTGGACAGCTGAGGGTGCAGTGGAGTAAAACAAATTATTGCCTCTGGTTTAATCATGCAGCTGATATTCATAACAGTCAAACATAGTCCAGAACAGTAGCCAAACTTGCCTTTGCAGGATGTTGTGTTCCTCTTTCGAACTAGAACAAAAGTCAGGTGTTCCTTGGAGCTGAGGAGGCTGCTAGACTGAAATTTGGAAGGAGCATAGTTCTGTGCAGTGCTTTCCACTCAAGTGCAGCCTTTAAGGATAAAATACTAATGTGCTTCCATTTTAAGTGACAGCCAACAGCTTAAAAAAAATATTTAAAAAAAAATCTGATAATGCAAGCCAGCTTTGTGTAGGTGTGAATTCAGATGAATCTATTATTAGAGCTTCTTGGTTACTTACTGCCATGACTATTATGCTCCTCCTGTAGGCACAGGGCAGCTAAGCAGATTTGTCTCCTGACCATTGCCTGCCTGCATATACCTGTTCTAATTTTCTGTTACCTGAAAGTTAAATAATCTAGGAAGGGTAACTTATCTTAACTAGTGCAATGAAGGAGACCTTACTGTACCAGAAGGTGGTCACAGTAGGTCAGCAGGCAAATAGTGACTGACAAATGTTCACTAACTCTGACATTCCTACTGCTGCCCTGCACTCCCCTACTCTTTTCTTACTCTTTCCTAAGTATTGCTCCCTTCTTTCTGGAAAGCTCTTTGAGCCTCCAGGAGTGAAGCCTCCATTACCCAGCTTTGTCTAAGAGGGAGACTTTCAAGAAATTAAGTTGTCTGTATTCTGGAAGTATCCTGGAAACTGGGACAAGGATCAACACAACCTGGACACAGAGACTTTTTTGGAAGTGTACTGCAGTGCTTTTGAGCAAATAACATGTATCTCTGCACCATATTGGTTTCTTAGAGTAACCTTAGCAGCAATATAAATAACTCATTTTAACCATGTGAAGTTTAGAAGTATTTTGCTTATCCTGACCCAATGATCTTAAAGGTCTTTTCAAACCAAAGTGATTCTATAATTCTAAGTCTTCCTTCTAACCTTCCTGTGTTAATTTTAAAAGTAAAGAGTAGAAGACTGTAACCGTGACCTGAACAGGTGTAGGTGAATTAGTGTAAGCCCTTGGAGATGTGCAAATAAAAGATAATTCCTTTTCCATGGTAAACAGACTGATAAACAGTGAAAATTACATTTTAGAAGACAGAAAGTTACTCTTCTGAATGTATGCACTTAAGTTTATGCTTGAGTATCTAGATTTCAGTCTATGTGTGCAGACATCCTTTTGGGAAGGGAGTGGTGGTTACCTCCTCTGTCTTGGCTTAAAAGTGGATCTGTCTTTTGCTACAAAAAACAAATTCACTATTTCACCCCCTTTGCATTTTCATCTGCAGAGTGATCTTTTTGCTGAAGCCCCAAAAGTAGAAGAATCCAAAAGAAAGGAGGGAGTTCCAGTAAGTGAAGGTATGAACCAATTGTTGCCTCCTGTACTATACTGTAATTTATCACTGCTAGTGGCTAGACTGTTTTGCTTCCAAACTAGAAAGTCTGGAGTCAAAATCATTGGCAAGTCTTTTCTCCTTCCCATTCCTAATAGAGAGCTGTGTTTTCCTGGAATTTTAAATGTGTTTGTTCACTATGATCTCTTATACACACCCACTTTCCTGGAGCTGAATGGATGTCCTTACTGATGTTGGCAGAGCTCTCTGCATGCGCTTGGTTCCTGCTGCTGAAGAGTACTTTGCAGGACCCACTTGAGGGTTTGAGTGGAGTGCAGATTTCTTCTTGCAGTTTAATGCACATATGAGCTTCCCAGTTAGTTGCATATCCAGACTCTGAAGGGGTTTGAGCACACGTTCTGTACTGAACAGCTTTTACTAAAACATTGTATTTGATAAATTTTCATATATGGGTTGGGAGACTTAAGTCATTTTGTTTTGAGAGCATGGTAATAGAAGTGGTTTTGAGTGTGTGAATGTGAAGCCTTATAAATCACACTGTGTGTAAATATGTCATGTTTATAAGCTTCATTTTAGTAGAACTGCTTTGTGCAGTTTTAGTGGAGCAAAAATAGCTAGATACATATATCTGCAAAACATAAAGCCAGAAGTTCAAGGAGAATGTCTAAAGAGTTCTGAGCTGTTAAGAAAAAAGAAAAAGGGAGCTCAAAAGACCTTTCACATTCCTGTTTCTATGGTACTGTTCTGAAAGCTTTGACAGCTTAAAACTAGTGCATCCATTTGTATTGTACTTCCTATGATTTCAGCATCCTCTACAAAGTCCTTAAAGAAAGTTCCTGCAGGTGCAGTATCTCTGTTCCCAGGTATGATTTGTTCAGTAGCAAATTGCTTCATGCACAAAATGCTCATTTTCTTTAAAACCTACTGGGGAGGTTTTAAAGAAGAAAACTACCCACATTCAGCAGCACTGCATTGCTTGATCATGTGCTTAATGATAAATACAGGTGCTTCTACCATGCTAAACCTAAACTGCAGCATGCTTTATGGATAATCAAGATTCTGTAGGTTCTCTGAAGGTAGATTTTTTTGATGGCAGATACTAGCAGCTGTCAGCTTCCGGTGTTGTGCTGTGCACTTTTAAGGATGTCTTAGTTTATCTGATATTATATAGTTTAAGGCTACAATGCATGAATTCACATCTTCCCAATATACTCTTAGAAGGAAGTGCATTTTGATTTTGCAGATTTGATCATATTCCTTCAGGTTAGTAGAACAGTTTAGACATCAAGTTTTTATGTTTTTGTAGCAGAGGTAAGTAAGACCAATCTTGTTTCTCTGGTTTTGATAAGGAGGATCTGCATACTTGGGGAAGGACCAGATCTGTAACTCAGAGCTAGAAAAAAAAAAGGAATTATACTAAGATCCCTGTTCCATCTCAGACTTCAAGCTGGGTGATGAAAAGAAACATGGCACCAGCCTCTTTGAATCAACTAACTTTTGTTTCTGCCTCTGTGTAGGGTCTTCATCTGATTAAGTTACTTTAATTTCAAGTTTTGCGCTTTATTAAGAAAGGCCTATTTTAAGACTATGGCTTCAGCTAACTGAGCCCTCAGTCAGTATGATTTTTAGAGTAGGATGTGTACAAACACAGCCTATTTACCCCAGTATCGAAGATATACATCAGCAATGGTCATTTTACATAATTAGAAGAGTTAGTAGCAAAGTTCTAAACGGCATATTGAGGTTTTCTTTATCCTTCAACTTTCTTGGAAGTACTGTTGTAAAAGCAGTGAATTTTCTGTCATTCTAACAGTGTCCTGTTCTAGTTCATTAGGAATTAATAGGAAGCATTTATTCAAGTCTTCAGTTGCTCCCTCTCAGTAACTTGTAGACAGGCCAAAGTCACTAGAGAAAAAAAACAGTATTGAGGCTCCTTTCCTATTCAGAAGCACTTGATGAACACATTTCCAGTGAACAGTTTGTGTAGGAACCTGAGGATGTTTTATAACCTATCAAACTTCGTGGCTGTATTCCTGTCGATCCTGTGGCACTTCTAATTTTGTGATACACTGTTTTTATAATAAACTGATACTGTGCTGGTCAAAATTAATGCAGTCTGCTGACTTTTAACCAAATCACAGTTGTTCTACTTTCTGCCAAACTGTCAATAAAAGTTTCTTCCTTCCCCCCAACTTCTGCCCTCTCCCCACCTCCACCCCCCCTCCACTGTTTCCAAGCCTCAATATATAACAAGCAAAAAGACAGGCTTAGAACCAGTCTGCTAGTTTTTACCAAAAAATACAAACCTGCTGAGTCTTCTAGCTTTAACATGGAACCTGGCTCTTGTTCCTAGGAGAGATAAGCAGGTTTGAGAAAGAAGTGATTTCAGTGAGAGTGCGGAGCCATCTGTCTGTGACTTGGCTTTATCAGGAAGTTTCTGGCTAATGCTTTGTGGCATTGTTGCAGGCGTGCATTAAAAGCTGCTGTGACAGAAGCTCTGTCTGGCTTCACTTACAATGGCACAAGTTCATCTTATCGGTAAATTTGGCAATGATATCTGTGTTTTTTGTTGGTTTTTTTTCCCCATCTGACCTATAGGAGGAAGCGATGTATTTAGTTCTACTGTAATTGTGGAAAAAAATAAGAAATCTGCAACAGAAAGCACAGAGAAAACTAAACAGCCTGGGAAAGTTGTTCTGTTTGATGATGATGATGATGATGAGTTCTTTGTGAGAGCAACTAAAAACCCTCCAGATTCAGGTACCTTTATATTAAACATTGAAGGTCATAACAATTCAAACTGATGGGTTTGGTGGGGGGTTTTTTGTAGTTATTTTAATTTCTTTTCCTCACGGTGGTGTGGGAATGGTTTATTTGTATAGGCTTTTCACTGACTTTCCTCTCTTAGCATGCTCCTTTTACTGCTAGGGCAATACCTAGGCTGGATCAGGGAAATGGTACAGACTATTCACACAGCCTTGATTCCCTCTGCCCAAGATTCCCTATTGGTAGGCTCTAGGCATTTAGATGTGCCAAGGCAATACAGAACACTGCCTTTAGACGTGCCAGCTGACTCTGTCCCAGCACTTGTTGACTGCACTGTCTGTCACCAGTGCTCTTGGGCAAGTGGTGTTTCACTTTGAGAGTTTGTCTAGCTTTTTCTTTTAAAGACTTCTGATGCAGATCATTTTTAAAAAGGGAACATGGTGTCTTTTGAGACTTCGGTATGTTCCCTTTTTCAGTAGTGGCTGTTCTGTTCTCAACATTCACTGATTTATCTCTTAATGCAGTCAAGTCCCCAATTGACCTATTTGATGATGATGATGATGAAGGTGATTTGTTCAAGGAAAAATTGTCCATTCCTCCTGTGGTTGCTGGCACAACTAAAGACATGGAAAGCTGGAGGGAGCCAGTAGTGGGAAAAAAGGTAATAATACATAAATGGTTCATATGGACAAGGTTTTAGGAAAAAGTTAAGACTGCAGCTGAAGTAGTCTTTTCATGTATGCCACTACAGAAGTGTTATGTTTGTGAAACAGAACTAGGTTTATAGGGTCTTGCATGACCCAAGTGCTTCAAGGGTCTGTAAATGCCTCTGTCTTTGTAACTTCATGTTTATTTTAGAGTTGGTTTTTTATTTGGTTGGGTTTTGTGTGTGTGGGCAGTGATTGGAAGAGTGTCTGTGGTCGACATCATCCAGTGTCATTGATCTCATAGCACTTGTCTTTCCTGGAAGAGGGGATGAGAACTGATTCAGCAGCACCCCTCCTGCTCTGTCAGGAAGTGAGGGCTTTTTTATACTACAGGCTTGCTGACAGTAATGCTTGGGTCTGGAATCATTCTGAGTTTAATGACAATATAGCTGGAGGCAGGCTGGGGCTGTGCTATGTTAATGCAGGAAATGGTGGCTGACAAAAATGGTCCTCTTCCTTTAGGAAACACAGCTTCTTAAAATAAACATTTTAATTTAAATTATGAGGAGGCCTGTCATGAGTTGCTGCATAGATTTTTCTGCTGAAAAGAATGGTGGTGGGAAGGGAGACCTATGTTAAGACCTGCAAGGCACTCGTGCGTAGCTCTGGCTGCATATGAGGAACTTGCTGAGCACATGAGCTTTGGACTTCAGCCCATGGGTGACAAGTGTGTTCTGTCCCTTGAACTACTAGAATGCTACCAGCAGCATGCCTCTTCATAAGGGTCATATGACTTGTCTGCCCTTTCTGAATCTAAATGGGTGTTGATGCAGTTTCTTTATTTGTTTTAAAGAGTCAACCATCTTCAGGTGAGGACTTCAAGCCTTTACCTGAAATGCCTCCGAGAAAAGAGAGGGGCCTCTTCTCTGATGAAGAGGATTCTGAAGTGAGTATCTCTAATCCTATAGAATCCCTACAGAAATCCTTGGGATCTGAGTCACCATGACTTCAGTACACTTGTATCTGGGACTCCTTATTTATCTGTAGGACTGGGAACTCTGACATCCATGCATCTGCTTCCAGCCATCCTGAAAATTCCTTCTTGTTCCAAGAGTGAAATTTCTGAGAACATTTTCCCTGTCTTCAGGGAGTTCAGCTTGTGTGGTACATTTGGGTGTGGATTGAAAGCCTGAAGAGGAATCATGAAAGACTTGCATGTTTAATCTTGTGTCCTCTGCTTTCAGCTAGCAATTAATCTGCAAAGCTGGAGGCCCTGTGAAGTTGCCGGTGATTAGTATATCTGAGTAAGACAGTCTTTCCTCAATTCACAGGCACACTAAAACACTTTTGAGAAAAGGAAAAACATCAGTGTTCCATTTAGAGTTCTTCAATGTGTAGCATTGTTTTGCATAGTGATTTTTCTTTGATTTGCACAGGACTTGTTTCCATCAAGTAAAACTGTAGAGTCCAAAGCTACGTGTCTTCCCACCAGCAAGTCCATGGTGAAAGCTCCATTCTCTTTGTTTGATGATGATGAAGAGGTAAGTACCACTTTTTGACACTGCCTGTATAGGCGAACCCTCCTGCACAGCCTGTTGCAAATGCAGTAGGAAATATTCAGAATTTTAGCACACTAAGCTTGTAAATGGAGCACTGAATTAGAACACTAAATCAATCTTGCATCGTCTAGCAGTTCTGAGAATGTGGACAGCATTATGGTGGAGAATGCTGAGAGGAACTCTTGCAATCTCTTGGTGTCTTTTCAGTGTTTTGCAGTCAGTGTTTTGCATATCATCTCTGGACCTAAACATGAAGGACATTGTGTCTCTGATTGATAGGACTAGAGAACACTGAGCAATTGAACAGATATGAGCTTCAAGAAACTGTTTTTAATCTGGCCTGTGATACGTAGTCACATGGATGATTTCTTCCTTCTCTTGTGTCATGGTTGATCAGGTCCTATTTTTGCACTTTGCAGTATGTAAGAATTGTGGCTGCTAGTGTAGAAACTTAGATCAGAGAACAGTATGTGGAAGAAACTTAATATTGAATTGGTGGGTGAATTTCTTATCTTTTTCATCCTCTTCTCTCTCCCACACACCCTGCAAAGAGTTTTCAATCTGGGCCTGCAGCCTTCATGGTAAGTTAACTTACCCTCAGATAAAGAGGAGGCCTGCTTAGGGCCATAAGATGAGAGACTTCCACAAACTCAAGGGTTTCCTCTTAAAGAGGGGCCTGCTTCCAACTTTACCTTTCTGAATAGGGGTTTTTCAGAAGCAACTGTCAGGATAATGAAACATTTTGTAATATGGTAACTGGTAGCTGCCCTGAAGGTTGTGTTGTGGAGCTGAAGTTCAAGTTGAGTGGAGAAGTAAGTGTTAGGTGGTGAAGTCAACAGATGCTTTTGTATATTCTAATGCGTGTATAATTATCTGCATGAGTGTGTTAAGGTGAAAAGTCTTGCTTCTTGCTCAGTGGTGGTGGTTCAGCTTGCCTATTACCTGTCCTCTCAGAATAGGATTCATTCTCTTATTTCATTATGTTGTGCCCTGTGCGTTAGCTATTGTGCAACAGAATTGCTATGTGGTGATTTTTGACTGGTGGTCAAGTCTTGTGCTGGAGAATCTGTGAGTCAAAGCCAACCTGTGTGCTTAGAAGTTTCTGGTCTATTAAAAGCTGTTGTGTGTAGAATTCCCTGTACCAGACTACTGTATCACACTTGAAATTGTCTTCAAAAAGGATTCACAAAACACCATTTTTCTATCCTACTCAAAAGTGGCTGGCAACAGTGTCATGTATGCTGATGATTTCTCAGTAAGCTTTTCATTGTGGGATTGACTTTTGATTGTTTTTAAATATATATTGTTTAATATTTTAAGGACCTCTTTGGTGTGATACCTGCAAAGAAGCAACAGGAAAAACCCCTGGAAGAGAAAGCAAAACAGTCAGAGCCAATCAAGAATACCTCCAGCTTATTGTTCAGCAGTGATGAGGAGGTACTGAAGAGTAAGATCTGGTTGAAAGGGGTTACTGGGCTTTATGCTGGGCAGAGCATAAAACTGTTAAGATGAGAACCACAGTCAAACTCTGTTGTATCCACATACTATGCCTGCCCCAATCCTGTGACTTGTTTGCAGCTGAGGAATTATTCTTGGCACTAATTATCTCAGGATCTGTCTTATTCTTGCCACAAATTATCTCAGGATCTAGGTAACAGAAGTCATGTAAAAGTGAAAATCAAGTGTTTTCAATGTAATTTATATGAAGATTGATAGCAAATGGAGGCTGACTTAAAAATACTAAAAGGGGAAAAATAAGTTTGCTCTTGCTGCTTTAATTTCTGTCAGGAAAGTTTAGCAGTTCTAGGTATATACATGTGGTAAGGAGTTTTTTGGGTTGGAGTTTTTTCTGTGTGTAGTGGTATTTCATGGGTTTTATTGGGTTTTGGTGGGTTACTTTTGTTTGTTGCTGATTGTAGATTTTTTTAAACATCTGTGAATGGGAAAAATTAAACACAAAATACCTCGGCTTCTAAGAAAGCAGCCCTCTCCCAAGGATGGTGTAGATGTTGTACTTTGTCTTAAATGAAAGCCAGAGACTAAATAAATTAAAAACTTGTTTGGAAAGTCTCTGAACTAAGTCACATAAATAGGATCCAGAGTCTTCTTAGCCCACTCTCCAAAATTACTCTTTTACATAGACTTGATTTTTATTACTTGTTCTGTAATTGCTTGCTTAGTGGATACTAGTAATATTTTCAGATGCATTTTTATCTTAACATAGAATAAACCAGATTTGTACTTTAACATGTCTGTAATCACCTTCAGAAAGGGGATGAACAGAGGTGAGAAACAGGGAAAGCCACTGGATATGCTCTGAATGAGACATGCAAGCCAGGAAACTCTCCTACCCCAGAAATGTTTCCTTCTAATGTAGATTTTTGAGTTGTTCATTTTACAGGCTTGATTAATGCTATTTCCAGAGTGGAAGGAAAAAAAAAAAAGTACTGTGGTTGAAAGTTGAGAAAAGAAGTGCAGCATCATGCACCCTAATAATGAGGTGTCTGAGGTGTGAGTGTTTTCTTGTTTGTTTTCCCCCACACATCAAACTTGCTATTATTAATTTAAGTGGCTCAAATCTGGTTCTACTAGGTGACCTTACTTCCATGACTGCAGTTTACACTGACCTCAGATGTCAAGAGCAACTACAACAGTAAAGTGTGTGTACTTTGTTTCATTGAGCACATGCTGTATGCCAGAAGGTGTCCAGGCCCTTTGCACAGCCTGAGCAGCATCCGATTATAGTGGCTAACACAAAGACAGGAAGATAATCTAATAGAGAGATGGAAGGACTGCCAAGATCTTGAAGTGTTTCTGCTCATAGAGAAGATGGGAAAGTGGCTTTGACCAAGACAAAAGAAAACTTAAGTGTTCCTTATTTTTAAGGAACACTGGAATGTCTCCAAGACAGCTAAACACCCTTCTGAAGATGACCAAAAAGAGGACCCTGCAAAATCAGCTGGCACTGTTGGTCAGGCTAAAGCTCTGAAGAAGACAAGCCTCTTTGAGGACGAGGATGAGGAAGATTTATTTAAAATCACGAAAGAGAGGTGACAGTCCCACGGGGGGTTTGGGAGGGGAGCATTTTTTCAGAACAGCCCACCAGCACCCTCTAAACTGGATGGACCCAGACATACTGCAAATGTTTTCTCTTGCTACTGCTGCTGAGGACAAAGTAGAGTGGGAATGAGCAGGACTGGGCTCTTTTACCTTACTTGTATTTGTCACAGTGAATCATTCTTGCCACTTGAACTGGGCTCCATTTCTATACCTGCAATATAAAATCCTCTTTTTATTTTGATTTCTGCAGAAAACTTTGCAGGCAAAAAGGGGGGAATGATAGAATTTTTGAGACATTGAGGAAGCTGAATCCTGTATCTGGGACCATTTGCTGCAAATGATGATCCTAAGTAATACTTTTAAACAGATAAGTGCAAGGTCTATGAAACTTTTGCACTGAATTTTCCACTTTCTCCTCTCCCTGTAGCCAAAGAAAGCCACAGAAGGTATCATTGTTGTTTGAAGATGATGCTATTAATGAAGAATCTCTCTTCAGCTCCCAATCAACACCACTTCCTTCTGCTGCTAAGGCTGCAGTGGTAATTCCTTTTTCTTTGATAACTAACATGAAACACTTAGTCTTTTTATAGTCCATCATCCTTGTTAGGTACTGAATGTATGTCTAACTTGTTTTACACAATGGTAGTTCTAGCAAACTGGACTGGGAACAGGGCAGATTGAACTCTTACATATAAAACTTCTTACTACCATCAGCTTAATAGGGATTTCAAAATTTTCTTGACCACTAACTCTAAATTTGTTTGGCTTATGGTAAAATCCTTTCCTGAGGGTGTTTAGAGAGCTCTCAACCATAAAATATTGTTAAAAGCATCAGACAGCTTACTGCTGACTGAAGCTAGAGGTTCACCCTTTCTGTCAACTTAACCCAAGCTGGTTCAAATGTGTCTACATGCTTCTTTCTTACTGGCCCTCTGTTAAGGGTGCTTATGCTATCTTCTGTCTTATGAGCTTAGCCCATAGTGATTGTGCTTTGAAATTGAGAGTAGGAGTAGCAAAAGTTTAACACAGATTATCTGCAGAGGGAATTCCTGTACATGTCTGTGTGCCACCTCCCCTCCTTGCCTTTCTGCTTACCAGAAAAAGGTTGTCATGGCCCATAGAGACAACAGGCTTAAGAGCAGAAGAAATAAACAAACCCCAGTCTAGCTGCTGGCAGTCACATGAAATGGTGCACCAACCAGACAAGATTCCCAGGGCATCTGTTCTAAGCTTACAACTGCTTCCTGGCACTCTTCAACCAGACTGAAGAGTCTGTAATACTAGAAATGGAGTGCCACAAACCACAATGTCTCATGGGAGGAAAGCAGAAATCAAGCATGTTGCCAGTGTTCTAGACCCCTGCAGAAGGCAAAGTGAGACTCTGCTATCTCTCAGTAATGTCTGCTGCTTGCATACAATTTTGTGTCACCAACATTCTCTTAAATTTTCAGGAGAAAGTAGAACCAGCACAAGCACCACCTTTCTTTAATAAAGAAGAACAGGTGGAAAAGGAAGGTATGCCTGATAAAGCAGCGAAGTCTAACCAGGTTGAAGATACACTGTGGTGTTCAGAAGAGCCTGAAGCAGTTCCTGTGTCTAGAGGAACAGATCTTGCTGGACAGCACATGAAGGAGAAAGTGAGAGATTTTCTTCCACTAATCTGAAATTTGATAGAGGTTCAGTTTAAAAATAAGCAAAAAAAGTCCCAACCCCTAAAAAAAACCAAAAAACAAAACTAACCCCTCAACAATCCAACAGGGCTTCTCCAGAACATCATTTTTTTTCTGGTTTGGCTCTTCTCTTACTAAGGAAAGAGTAACTTTGTCTACATTTAGCAGAATAGCTTGTCAGTCAAACAACAAATTGATTAAATGTAATTTAAAAGCTCTTTCCAAACTGGTGTACATAAGGTAATTGTTTGAGGCTTTTTGTTGGAGGGGTGGAATCTGTTTATTTTTTTCTCCAGAGTGGGTTGGGTAATCTTTATTCACATGAACAGAGACTTTGTTTAAAAAGTAGTCTATAGTGAAATGTAAGCTTTGCTTCAAGCTCAGTAATTTTGTTTCAACATACTGGCAAAGTTATAAATGGTGTTGGTAGCTGTAGCTTTCAGGATTGTGAATTTTTCCTGGGTAATACTGTTACAAAACGCTATTATTGAGTGTATTATTGAAGAAGTTTCAGCAGAACTTAATCTTGGGCATGGTCTTCCTGAGTAATTGATGGGGAATTATCAGCTGATGAATTTCCAGATTAGTTATAATGTTTTGCACTTTCCTGAGCATATTCAAGGTTTGGGTAGTGCTGCCCACTCCAAAGAATCCCAAGTGAACTAGGTACCTCGGAGATAATGGTGAAGCTGCTTAATGTAGCCTTGTGGCACCAGATGCCACCTGGCTTAAGGATGAAGAGGAAACCTTATGCAGGATGCTGCTTATCAACAGCACTGCAGTGCAGGGTACAGGAGTAAACTTGTGCGTTGCTATTTTGTCTAATTAGGAAAAATGAGTTGGATGTAGTGGGTTGCAGAACTCTGCCCATTGCTGGCAACTGAACCAAGAAATCTTAGTGGGTTTTTGATTATTTTTTTTTCCAAACCTGACCTAAATAACAAGTGGATGTGTTAATTGTTTTTTTTTTTCTGTTGGAGCCTTTTGCAGCAAAATCCTCAGAGCCAGCCAGCAGTTCAGATCTGTTTGCAACATCACCACCAGCTCTGCAGAAGGATGTCAAGACCCAAGCTAAGAAAGTGTTAAGCTTGTTTGAGGAGGAGGAAGAGGATAGACTGGAAGATGATGATGACATAAAAAATGCACAGAAAGAAATTGTTGTGGTGAGTCTAGGGAAGTTCTTGAACACTAGGAATTAGGGAGTATTTCTACCTCTAGTATTACAGGCACGATTTTGTTCTTTCTTCATGTCATGGAGGCTAATCTTTCTTTATTTTTATTTATTTATTTTTAAACTTCCAGATTCTTGGATGACAAATTATTCCTCCTCTTCCTCAGGATCCTGAATCCTTTTGTAATTTTTCCATCTGACTAACTCAAAGGCATTTTGCTAAATGCTAATATGAAAAGATATTTTGTAAAGAAGTTCTGTCCAGATGTTGTGGACCAGCTACTTGATGTCTGCTGTATGAAACTGATTCCCCAGTTAACTGATTCCCTAACCTCAAGATCAGGAGTACTAGGAAGTTGAGGGATGTGGAATTTGAGGCCTTGTTGCTTATCCTCTTATTTCTTTATTAATCCTTTAATGTTGCGGTTTGCTTGGTGGATATATGCCTGCAGACTGAGCTTCAGAAAGAATCATCTTAATTCCATGTTTACATCTGTTTTTCAAGAATGTTTGTTCACTTTGTTAAAAGTTGCTATATTATTGCTGTCTGGCTTTCCTAGCATATACCATCAAGAGGTAGACTTTTAAGCTTCAGCAGAAATGTTCTTGAATCAATGACAATGTTTCTACTTGTGTAAGATGTACCAGTGTTTTTTCTGTAAACCTAAAGTCATGTCACAAACTACATACTATATACAATGGCACAAGGTTTTGTCATCTTCCTGCAACCATGTAAAATAAGTTGTCAACCCTAATGGCTATACACACTTTATTCAAAAGTCCCGGGAGCTGAATGAAATGTTTGGCTCTTTGAGAAAAATCCCTGTTCATACCTGCTTTGTTGTGAATGTATCTCATGTGTGTTTGTTTTTATTTTTTGGATGAGCACATTGTGAGATGGTTGCAAAAAGCCACATCTGTCATATGAATTTGGGAAGACACAAATCCTTTCAAATCTTTCCTTTAAGGCACTTGACTGTCAGCGTGTAACAGTCATTAAGTGATTCAGGTGCTGAAATGCATATTCATGCAAAAGTCAGAATAGGTAATTTAAGAACTTAATCTTTTTAATAGGCAAATCTGAAAGGTGTTACTATTTTCCTTGCCTATCTCAGCTTAATACATGTTTCATGAGTGGATACTTCTAGATGTGCATTAGGTTTTCATGTATCTGGGCAGAAACAGTAGTTCTAGGGCTTTAGAAATGTGACCTGTTTTTTGATAAAAATGAAAGCTGGTGCACAGAGAGACTGAGAATGGAGCAGTAATAAAAATCGTAGGACAGAGTGTATGGACCAAAACTGGTGTAATGGAAATTAGCTTTAATAAACAGCCCCTTGGGGCTCCTGGAGACTTGGACTGGAAAGAGGAGAATTATGACAACTGCTCCTGCTGCTTGTATTCGAGTCTGATGTTATGCTAATAGACATTAAGTCATGCTCTTAAGAGGCATCCTTTCATTTGTCTAGGTCCTGAAGAGGTAACTTGGTGGTGAAACGTAGATACTGGCCTTTACCTGCACCTTCAGTGGGGCTTTTGCCTTTTGAAAGTCAGACTGGATGCATACAGTGACCATGATCATAGAAATCATTGGTTTTGGTGTCCAAGCAGCTGATATTGTTTGGTTTGCCAGATAATGGAGGGCTGATAAGGTGATACATTTGGCTGTCAACCTTCCCCCCACCAGCAAGTTTGAAACTACAAGTTCTTGCCAAAGCAGACAGTATGTTCTGTCCTTGTGGGGGATGTTGGCTTTAACAGAACTGGGAATCTAGCAAAAATAATAGCTTTATAGGCCTTTAACTCTGGGGGGTTGTTTTATTTTATTCTTTGAAAAGGTACCTTAGGAAGATAATTAAACCTTCTATTCTTACCACTTCTCTGTCTTGCACCTTCAGCTGAAAAATTCAAGGCATAAATGTCTTAGTGAAATATAAACCTTATTGTACACTCATGATAACATACTTCAAACTTTTTGTTTTTATTTCCTTTCTAAGGAAGCTTTACAGGTAAATAGTAGCAACTGGATCTCAGGTCAGCAAACACATACATTTTGGTTCTCATCAAATTGAACTATGAATACAAATATTTACATTTTAAGTTTTGCAGATTTGGTCCAAATAAAATATACAACTGGCAGTTAAAGTTGAATTTGTGTTACCAGGGTTGTAGTGTAGCCTCAGGTGAATTTTAACCTGTCTGATCACTAGGCAAATAACCTCCTTAAGGATGGAGTTTCTTACTCTGTGGACCTTAATCCTCTCCTTCCAGGCTTCTGAGAAGAGTACTCGGCCCAAAAGCACTGGAGTCTTTCAAGATGAAGAGCTCCTTTTCAGTCACAAACTTCAGAAAGACAATGATCCAGATGTCGACCTCTTTGCCAGCCCGAAGAAGTCGATTGTAAGTTCAAAGTCCTCCTCTGAACCCACTATTTAGAAACAGTGTTTGAAGTGTGCAGCCTACCAGTGTTTCTTTTTTGAACACAGCTTAGAAGTTACTGGTTTCCAGGAAGGACCAAGTTCTAGTATCAGTTCAAGAATCATAGGCCAAAGGAGATGTGCTTTTGATCTGTGACACATCTTTTCTTTATCCTTCATCTCTGCAGTCTGCAAACCGTATCCTGAAGCCATCATCTGGAGGAGGACTTTTTGGGGATGATGATGAGGATGATCTCTTCAGTACCGCTAAAACGAACCTTTCGGTATCTGTTCCTCTGCTATAAATGGCTCATATAAAAGACACTGGAAAAAAGTCCATGGAAGGCTTGTTTATTTTCCATATGTATTCCTGCGAGAAGTCAAGTGACTTTTTTCAGAGCATTTTGAGAGAGTAGAAATGGCCATTGTGACAGTGAAGACATAGGGAACAAAGAGATGCCTTATGTCTCCCAAAGCAGAGACAAGTGGATTAGATTATTCTTCTTGTGTACCACTGGGACTGGCTTAGTTGTAAGAGAAAACACCTGAGCAGAAATCAGAGTAGCAGCATTTGTATTGTGTAATTGTTTTACTTGCTAATGCTACTTCCCTGTAGTTCATGCATGACTGATGAGCCTTACTCTATGATTTCTGTAATTAAAGTCTCTGCAGATTGGTTTGATTTAAGGTAGTGAATGTGGCATTAGAGAGTGAGCAGCTGCAGTAATGAATGAGACTGCATAACAGGTGGTCTGAGGTCAAAGCCCTGACATGCATTCTAAACTGCTGCTCTAAAGGTATTTAGCTTAATTAAATTGAAGCCAACTTTTGCTTTAGTCTATTTTCATGTCTATAGCTGGGATTTAAGCTAGAAAACTGGCAATAGTTCCTGGAAACTATTTCTTTGAGGACTGTGGAAGAGGTGGCCTTAAGTAATTAGTGTTTGGCAACTATATATGGAGCCTGTATGCTTGAAAACATAAAAATAGCAGTATTTCTAAGCTAGATTTGTGGTTTTATTTTCCCTGCTGTCCTGTGCATGAGAAAATATGTATGCATTGATAAGTTTATAGAAACTCATTATTTATGGTTAGTGCAGACAGCAAAGGTTGAAGTAGACTAAAGGAAGGGGAGTGGAAGGCCCTTGTCATTGCAGAGCCAAAAGGCAATGACTACTATATGTTGTAAAGTCAAAAGATAAGGCTAGTTTTATTTTCAGATAGAAGCAAGATTTTAAAATGTTTGTTTTGTTTTTTACTTGGTCTGCAGACCAGGCTTTTTACTCAATCCATGTTGACTTGTGCTCTTAATGTTTTCAGAAAATAGCTGTGAAGAAAACACTTGAGGCCAGTACTGGCCCTTCCTTGGAGAGCAGAAACCTTTCAGAAAATGCTGTAAGTGCCAAACAAGATGAAGCTCCGAAGGCAGTAACTACAGAGGCAAGTACTTAAATCTCATGCCTTAAACAGCATGTAAAGAAAAAAAGAAAAGTATCATTTTTGTTTTAAATAAGTTGCTTTAAAAGATCAAAACAAATGCCTGGATTCACTGGCTGCAAAGCAGCAATGCATGGCCAAACTTGTCTGCACTGTCTGCACCGAACAGGGACACTGTTACCAGCAAGAAGTCTAAATTATGTTGATACATGATAAGTGATAGTTTTATTCACTCGCTTCCAGTTGGATTGAAAATGGGTTGTTCAGTCTTCTCTGAAGTGTCACTGTCTGTTGGAGTGAATGTGATCTTTAAGTCAAGGAAGGCTATCTGAGAAAGTAGATCATGGCATGCAGCACAAATCTGTGGCTGTTGAGGATCTCACCTTGGAGACTTTATGATGAGCAAACAAGACTCCTACTCTTGTCCCTTATCTTGCAGAACCAGAACTTGCAGATCTTGCCTCTCCAGGAGAGTCAGTCTGGAGCTGAATTCTGGCTTGTGCCTCACCAGATCTGCTTTTTGGATTTCCATCTGTAGGAGATTAGAGTGTTGTTTTTTTCTCCCTGGGCTGAGGAACACAGAGCAAATCTGTAGTAATTAGCCTGTCTTACCTTATGGTGAAGTATTCCTTGAAACGCAGAATCACAATCATCCTTTTTTTGTAGTTACTGACATCCTGGTATAGAAAAGATCTCAGCTTGTCTGAGGTTCAGCTGAATGCCACATGCATTTGGGTGAATGATCTCCTCAAACACTAGGATTCCTCTGTCATGCTAGCAAGACTTCCAAACCGGTGTCATAACCCTTACAAACCCTCGGTTGCTTTAATGTGACTGAAGGAGCTCTGACTGCCCAGTCATACAATAGCAGTACAGTGTAGCTCACAGAACCATGGTAAGCTGCAAATATTTGGAAAGCAAGCCCAGGGAAGAGCACCTTAGCTGATTTGGTTCATCCCTGGGTCCTAAAATTGACCCAAGTCTTAAGACCAAACAGCTTCTCTTGCTCTTTTGGTCTAGTCTGATTTCTGGCTCTGTTGGCCTACTTTCTGTAGCAGAGCACTCACTTCTCCAAAGTTGTTTTCCTTGAAGGCCATGAGGTACAATTTTGTAGCCCTTCTGGCTTCCATGTGGACTTGATTGGAGACTGTGGCCCTATTGCAACCAGTCACGAAGAGAAAACTTAGTTATATCATGATCTGGCAACAGGGCTTTAAAGGGTCTTAGGGCAGGTAATAAGCAAGCAAGGAGGGAGGGTGGCTGTCGCAGTTTGATTTGTCTGTGTGTGACCTGGAGAAGGTGGAAGTTGTTCTGTTACTATGGCACAGTATAATTTGTGTAGAAGGAGGGTGGAATGAAATGTGATAATGAAGATGGGATTATTGCTTGTGGGGAACTGAAGCTGAAAATTGAGTGACTGTAACTCTAGCAGTAGAATGTGAAGATAACAAGGTGTCTTCAGAATTAATTGGTAAGGAGTGAGCTTTCTCTAGATGTATTAAAATGCAAACTATGGTCTGGTTGATAACAAATTGTCCACTTCTTTAATCCAGTGTAATTTTGTGCAGAAATCTACAGGTCCTGTTCCCATTAAAACCAAAGAGCCCTCATCCCGGATTGGAAAGCTACAAGTAAATTAACTTTACTGACATACTGACTTTCAAAAAAAAGAAAAATCTCCCTTGCCTGACTGATGGCTTTCCCTGAAACAATATCTTTTTACTTCCTTACCTTACTCTTGCAGTTTATATGTTTGTTTTTTCAGATTCCATATTTTCTACTACTTTTTCTGCATTGCATGTTGAATATTTTTTCCCCCTCCCATTTCTGAGCAACACTATTTAGTCTATTTGGGTGGCAGAGGGTGGGATCCTCTTTGACCTGCTATTCTTCTAAGCACTATTTTAAGTATGGTCAGAGGCTCTTAGGGGTTTGGAGTTTTTGTTAGGTCCCTCTTCTGACATGAAATGACTAATAATTGTCTGTCTCACAGTATTGCTCTTAATGTCAGAACCGTTGTTATCCTGGGACAGAATACTGAGCTACATAGGTGTTTCATCTGACATAACGTGACCGTGCTATTCCTGAAGCTCTTCTACAGAAAAATAGTATTGAGCACTGCACAGACTTAGAGGATTTGGGAAACACAGATGTGCACAGGTGTGAGAAAGGCCAGGCACTTGTAGAAGTAGAACTTGAATGTCCACATACACTAATTCTTGCTGCTTCTCTAGAGTCATGCTTGCTCTTGAGCAGTGTTAATATAATCTCTTTTTGTGTGTAAGTTTTTGTTTTCTCTGTTTTGTAGGCTAACTTAGTTATTAACCCTGCAGCCTTACTACCTGGTGCAATGCCTAAGGTCTCCAATGTAAAGTCATCCTCACCAGTTCTGGACGCTCCATTGTATGAGCCCAAGGATGTACAGAACAGTGAAGCCTTCTCTGCTGCAAGAAACAATGAAGAATTAGGTGTTAGCTTTGATCAGCCTATGCAAGCGGATACCTTGCACAGTGCCAATAAGGTAACCTTGGTATTTAGAAAGATAGAAAGGGACACAGTCTGTCCTTGTGCAAGGGTTGGTGTTCTGGCATGGAAGTTCTGCTAACAGTGCAGTCTTTCTGAATCTAAATGGAGGTGTGGACATCTAATCCCTTCTTATTTCTGTGGACCACTGAAGAGAAAGTCAAGCTGACTACATTCTTATCTTTGTAAGGGGCTTATCCATATAGTTAATTCTCTTCCTTTTTAAGGTATATGTGTATGTTCCCCAAGAACAGTGGTTTTCCCTATAGATTAAAGTTGGTTTAGCATAGTATCTTGCTTGAGGAGATGCCAACCTGAAAACCATTAAAAAATGCATCTCTCTAGGCTAACTATAAAAGATGTTATGGAAAGCTGCTGTGGCAAGATATCAAAAACACACCACAGATGCAGGTTGACCTTTACCTCCTCTGTGAATAAAAATGTCATGGTGTCCTGAACTGTCACTCCCAATTCTTTTTCAAACAAACCCCTTGTTTTTTAAAGAAAAAAAAACAACCACACAAAACCCAAACAAAAAAATGTTACAGCTTTTGACATGGCTGATCTCTGCCTCCTGACTCACGGGGGTGTTTTATTCCTACCTTTTACTTTATAGACTGCAAAATACATATTATAATTAAAGATTTAGTGCTTCTTTAAAAACAAAACAACAAAACTTGGACCATGTAGTTAAGATTTGGACAGGTTGCTTATTGTTTTATCTTTCTCATGGGTTTCTTGAAGGCAGTGATTTGAATGAGGTAACTAATGATCTTAACTTTGATTCTTTCTTTCCTTAATGCTGCTGGAGCTGTTCATTACTAGATGAGCAGCAGAGATGACTTGGGAAGATGCAGCAGCTGTCACCACAATGTCTGGCATGACCCCTTAGTGTCAAATGGGTTTGAAGCTTGTACATCAGGCTAATGCATTACCATGTAGGCATAGTTGTTTCCAATAGCAACATGTCCTGCACAACAGACAAAACCCTCTGCCATGGTACTCTTAAATAGATAGACTTGCAAAAGAGTAGCATTCCTGTAGTTGTGCACAGTCAACCCTGAAAGATCATTTTGGCATAGTGATGATGCATGTTTGTTTACAGAAGTAATTTGAGAAGAAGCATCTCAGTAACTATACAGTGAATGGGGGTTTTTGTGCCTCAAAATGCATGTTTGAATTTTGGCATGTTATTGCTTCCTGGACCCTTCAATTGAAGTTTGGGTTTAAGCTGTAAGTATATGTAGCCAAATGCACTTTTTTTTCCAAAGACTGGAACAAAGCAACCTGCCTGGCATTCTGGCTGTCCTTTCAAAGAACAGTGCATGGTGCAGGGATCAGTTTATTTCAGGTGCATGCCCTTCCATCCTAATTTTCCTGTTTTTCAGCCATGCTCTGATCAGTACAGCCCCACACTCTAAAGACAGAAGTCCTATAATGGTTCTGACAAAAGCACATGGCTCCTTTAAGCTGTGTTACAGCATATCCATCCAAATTGTCCCTTTGCTCCAACAACAATTAACAAGGGAAGAGGACGTTGCACTGATCTGTTTCCTACATGTGTGAATACTCCTGTCCATGTGGGGGTATGGTAGAAACTATAATGGAAACTTGCAGGGGGCCTTCTTTAGAAGGAGCAGAGGAATGAACTGCAGCAGACTATGCATAAAATGAAATTAAATGGGAAACATAATTAGTCATGACTTGGACAGAATAATTGCACTGCAGAAGCCCCTGGATTAGCAAGCCATCAGACTGAAGTATTAGCTAAAGCTGAGGGGCTAGAGTGGCTTGCTGACCTGTGTTGTGACACTCAGGAGTGCTGTTGCTTTTGTATCCCAATTCTACCTGCTGTGGAATAACCAGAGAGCAGCAAACCAAAAATCTTGGGTTATTTTTCTGAAGCTTGCTGCAAAATACTCTAAGCTTGAATGACCCACTTGTCAATTTTCGTTTCTGAAAAATGGGGAGAATGGATGACACTGAGCTGATGATACGTGGTTCCTGCTGCTTCTCCCTATAAATTAATTCAGTGTATGCTCAACACTCCTTTCTCAAGATCCCAAACTGAGCATCTGTTTAAATGTCCATGTAGCTGTTTAAGTTACTTAAACCAGACCTGTGAGCAGAACTTTTTTAGTTATTTCAGTTTCAGTGTGCCAGTATGAAATGTACAATGCATGTTAACTGCAGTGTTGTGAAGGCACAAGGAATCCTGTGAAGTGTGTTGGTTTTTTCCTTCTGTATAACCCTGCTGTGCTTTTACTACTTTATTGCAGACCAGGATCAAGGTTACAGGAAAACGAAGGCCTCCTAGCAGAATGGCCCGCCGTCTAGCTGTGCAAGAGTCTGAAGGGAGTGAGGAGGTGGACAGTGCTAGAGAATCACAAATCTCTCTACCAAAACAGACATCCACAGTAGTGAACATAAAGGAGCCTCTTGCTGCTGAAGCAGAGTCCAAGGAAAATGGCTTTTTCTCTGGCTTATCGCTACCAGCTCGTGGCAATGTTTTGCCTGTTGGAACAAACTCACTTCTTCCTCCAGAACCCAAAGATCAAGGCGATGATCTGTTTGAATCAGAAGACCTTTTTGCAAGCAATTCAACTTCCAGACCAGCCACACAATTGAAGTTAAAGGAGGGAATGCCAGACAGTGTGGCTAACAAACCCATCAAGGGCGGGGAGAAAAAGCCTGATCTATCTGCTCTGGCTGATCAGGACAGCAACAATCTTTTCCAGGCTGTACAGCAAAAATCTTCAACAAAAAGTAGCCCTATACCTTTTTTGGAGGAAGAGGAAGACTCTCTCTTCACTGGCCAGAAAACTGGAAAAAAGGAGTTGAAATCTGCTAGCCGACAAGCTGTTGACCCTACTGCCCAGGATATCTTTGAGGTAATGGGGGAGCCTGCCATCTTGGTCTCTTTCGTTCCCAGAACTTGTGCAGAACCTTCTGCTTAGACACAGGCTGCTTAATGGTGACTGCTGAGTAGAATAGTGCAGGATAGGTAGTGAAGTAGACTGTCAATCATGCTCTGCTACTGGGCAAGAAAAGCCCTTTTTTGGATATTCACCCCCTTATTAGCAAGAGTGGATTAGAAGGCATGTCAGTAAACGTGCTGTGAAAACAGACCTGTGATTATGACCTTTTTTAGTGTAATAAAGTATTTGGTTCTTATCTGTCATCTATATGTTCAATGCACAGCAGCTCAAATAACTCTTTTATAAAAGGAAAAAGTTGGCAGGATGGGCAGCTGATACATGCCTCTGTGCTGTACTTGAGCTGTGCACAATCTCACACTAAGGCACCTCTGCCAAGTCCTCCTTTAGGAGAAGGGACTCAGACTTCTCAGGTTGGAGAAGCCCAAGGCTGTTGGTCTTGTAAACATATCAGCTGCTGTGTACAGATAACTTGACTATTCTCTGGAAGTGTATTGATGATCTCTCTATGCTTTTCTCCAAGGACGATATATTTGCTACTGAGGCAATTAAACCAATGAACAAAGCAAAAGAGAAAATGCCAGAGACTAACCTGTTTGACGATAATATTGATATTTTTGCGGATCTCACCATAAAACCAAAAGACAAGAAGACCAAGAAAAAAGTGGAACAAAAATCCATATTTGATGATGATATGGGTAAGTGTCTAATATCTTGCTGCTAATCTCATAATATTGTCCCAAGTTGCATTCAGTGGAGATGTTTTAGAACCCTTTGCTTTCTTTTAACTTTCCAACTTCTCTGAAATCTCTGTTCATCTCTGGATTTTAACCTTGGATGAGAACTGTCTATATTTTTAGAAGTCAGGATGGCATTTAAATGGTTTAGGAGAGTGTATAATGTTCTTGTAAATAAAAGATTATCTTAATTCCTGTAGAGATTTTCATACCTATGGGAATTATAACATCTCTCTTGTCTGGAATAAGAGACTAATCTCATGTTGTTATGGCTCTGAGAGATACATTCTCTGTTTCAGTTTGCACAGCTCTTTGTATCATACTTTCAAATGAATCACCAATATGAAGGAATTAGTATCTCTTCCTGCCCCACCTCCACTACTGTGTTGACTGCCTTGGGGCCCATAAGATTTTGTTTATATCTATTTATACCCAGAAAAAAAAGCATACAAATATTGAACCTGGGAGAAGAAGTTTGCCCTGGATAATTTGTTGAAAATAGCTGCATATAGGAATGTGAAATAATGCAAACCATACTCCTTTCTTGTTCTCCATCAGCAGAGGCATCAACTAATTTGATCCCTGACTGTGTCTGTTTGTTCTCAAGCTCTTCATGTTTACAGCTCTTGTTTGGGATTGCATGTATTTCTTTTCCTCTAAGAAAAAAAATATTTCTCCTTTAGCTGTGATTCTTGTTAGTTTTCTTTTGTTCTAACATATTCAAATTGAATCTGACTTACCACTGTTTTGCTTGGACTACCGTTAAGCATTCCAGCCTGATGGAATGACCTGGCTGAAATCCGTAAATGTGTTAGAAAACTTGTCAGAGAATGAACATCTTGAGATTTCAAAACCTTCTCAATTGATATGAAAAATAAGACTCAAACATTTGCAGGCATAATATTTGAAATATGTATTAGATTATTAAAATATTTTAATAATTTACTTTTTTTTTTCATGTAGCCAATAGCAAATGAAAGAACTTCTAAAACAGCTACCACTTACAAATATTTCAACACAAAAATCTGGACCTCATGTTAAAAAAAAACCAAACCAACACAGTTATAGAGTGCCACTGGAAATTATCTTGGAAAATTAGCCACAAAAGAACCTGCCCTTTACACTCCACCTTTGGACATCTACTCCAGTGCTAGAGCTTGTTGTTTGATGTCATATCTGATCTTGATACCTATAGCATCAGATGTTTGAAGGTGAGGAAGCCCTGTTTGGCACGTAAAGTGGTACAGCTGGCATGTGCCTATGCTTCAGGTTAAGGGTTGGCTTCAGTGAACATGGTAGCCCTTTATCAGAGCTGTACATTATCATCTCGGGAGATTTTTTTTCTGCTGCAAAAAAAACAGTAAGTGAATGCCATTTTGTGGGGGGTGGAGGCTGTCAGCTGCTTTCCTTCTTTGTCCTACCAGAGCTTCTAGTCACTATTTACTACATTTGTGTTAGGCTTGTGATGGCAGAA